ACAATCGTCGAGAGCATAAAAAAAACAAGTACTTGTAAAAACCAAATAAGCTCTACAATTTAAAACTCTGGTGACTGTAGAATGCAGATAGATCTTATGTTTGCTTTACTAGCAATTAATAATATAATAATAAATGTATAACTAATTTAAAGGTAAAATAATGATTATACATTTATAACTATATAATATCTTATATTTATATTAAATTTAATACAATTCATAAACAATGAAACAAATAACTATCAAAAATCGTCATAATAATATTATATTCCACATTAATTTTAAAAAAATAAACATTTCAATGAAAATTTAATAATATTATAATTGTAATATTAATCGTCCATATTCCTAACGAATCACAGTGAATAGTTTCAAGTTTTTAAAACGCGCAAAATACAAAAACTGAGGATCAAAATAGTTAACGATCAATAATCACAGTAATACATGCAACACCCGATACCGAGTACCTATAATAATTTTCCCAATACACATTCGATTTTATTTTTTAAAAAACTATCGGATTTCGTAAATAATGTTGCCTATATTTATCCATAAAACACGAAATCTGTAGGTATTATTAAATGTTAGCATATAATATGCGCTGTTCTGTATTCTGTTTTCAAATACATGTTTAGGAAGTAACCTGTGAATTTGAAATAAATTAAGCCGTCAAGGTTATTTAAATCTTTGTTTATCGATATTTGAGCATGTTCTATACTTCTATTATATTCTATATGAAATATTGTTCATGTTTATGGCTGTTATTAATAGCTATTACATCCATTCGGAATATTACGCTCACACAAGTTTAACATAGCCCACAGATTGACGAATTTTGTATAGATATATACTAAACTAAGAGCATGATATAATAGGTACTATATAATATCATACTATACTCTTATATTATGCACATTCAAGATAAAATGTTAACAAAATATGTTATGACCACGTATAATATTTTATTCTTGACATTCTGACCCACAATGTGAAACGATAAAGATGCATCACGAACACATTTCATCTGTCAAATTTATCGTTCAAGACTAAACAATAACTGTAGTTGTAAAAGAATATATATAATGCCCTTATTAGTTATTATATACAAACCACAAAGACTGTTACTATAATGTTAAAATCAACAATAAATAACAATGTCTTCGGTTTTTATAAATATTCCTTATCAGTCATCAGTTATCTTTTTAGAACTATTATTATATTTTTCTTTGAATCCTTTCAGTCTTGATATAACACATTATATGAACAGTTTTTCGGTATCTAGATCATATAGATCGTACATTTTGGTATACATAATTTAAAAACATAATCGATATAATATATTGTATATTATAATATAATATGTATTATACTCGTACTTCTATCATTATAAATTCTAAATAAAAAAAATATTTAAAATAGAAATCGTAAAAAAGAGTAAGAATAATACTTTGTGATTAACGATGCTATCAATGTAATTTAAAAAAAATGTATATCGGATTACTGATGAAGTTGATATATTATAGTAATATTATACATACTAAACATAATATATTATAGTTGTGTTAAGCCGGTGGGCGATGACTTAAATTCTGGTGTCATTATACTTTTAATAAATTCAAATAAAATATAGGAAAAACGTATAAATAAAATAAACATAAAAATAATAGTACCAAATCAATTCAAAATTGATTTTACCTTTAAATAATAGTATTCACTATTAGTTTGTTTTTTCTTACAACATGGATCTCAAAAAGAAAAAAATGTGTTGCGAGTCTAAATATAAGATTGTGACTAAAGTAGGATCACTGAAGTATAGAATATGTCGTACAAGATTATTCGTTACTCCAAATTATATTCTGTGATTTTAGATTCGTCAATATTTCGGTGTACTATACCTAACCTACTACTGTACAGAGTGAGGAAGTTCTCGTTTTTATCCCAAATACGTAGATGATCATATTGGAAAGTCTACATCAAACAGGAAGCAGTATAAGTAGGTATACAACATACAATGTATATTATACTGCCTAAATAAACCCAAACCGCGTCGTATATCACTCCCGAGAAAGTCTCCACGCCCAAGAATATATTATATTAAATATAAACGTCATATACAGCGTGTAGAAACTAGAAATTGAAAGCGGTTGGCGCAAATACTCTTCATATAATAATTAATATAAATAAACGTAAGATCGCTGTGCATGTGTCATATCAGTCGAGGCGTATATAAAGTCAAACGATGTTAAAAGTGTGTACTTAGCGAAGAACACTGGAACAAAAAAAAAACCAGCTAAATGGAAAAAGCCGTTAAACGCTCTCTATACCTATATTGTTTTATGACATCATTGTTCGCGGAAGAAAAGCTTTTTGGTATATATAATAAAACACCGTGCGAAAACGACGACAAAGGGCACAGAAGATCCCGGCTAAGTGTTCCGATGACTCACCGCGGCGGCAGTCCCCCATCGGAGTCGCTATACATCCTATTAGGTCCCCGGGACTGTCACTACACCCCATACGCATGTATACATATATAGATCGTACACGCTACTATTTCCCCGAATACTCACCAAACCACACAAATAATACACATATATATATCTAATGTATTAACTGGGCCGTAACTGCCACGCCGCCTAGAGTCTACGACCGTAGCCGGCCGGGTGTATTATAAATCCCAGTCACGATAATAATTCGATTACGGGAGACCCTCCGCATGCACACGTCGTACATTCCGGCGGCAGTGAACGATCGAGAAAAGTTTTCAGCCGTAGTGCAGCGGTGTACCCCGTCCGGCCGACGGTTAGATGAACAAATCGCAACGCCGACAGTGTTCTGGTCTACGCGTTAGGGGGAATTCGCGAGTACGTACGATATCGCAATAATATGTTGTTGTTGTAGTACGTACAGTAAAACAGTGCGAAATTTTGCGAAAGAGCGGCTCGAGGCGTTTTGTGTAGGCAATCCCCGGACGATCGTAGTCTCCGAAGTAGCCGCGCGACGGTCGCACGATACGTCTATACGTCTCAATGATTCTTAAAATAATAATAATAATAATATAATATAATACGAGTGCGATATTTTTCGATTTGTTTCCTAGCAGAAGACGACTTCTGAACGTAATAATATTGCGGACGAACCGTCATCACATTACCGCGATACCTGTTTATACGCGTCTACTTGGTGTTCCGTACGGCGCCAACACTCGGCACATTCCATTAAATTATATTATTTTAATCCCGTAAATTGCTTCCCGAAAAACCCGTCGGAACGCGATTTTATGCGACGCCATGCCTTTGTTGTTTACACGCAAAATGTCCATTAGCCGTCGTCTTCGTCGGTATGGCTCGTCGTGTATTATATTACTATTTATTATATTATACTGCTGCAGCACACCTGTCGAGAGGGCTTAATCTAGTAAAACATACAACTATTAGCGCAGGATTACTCCGGCCGTTGTTCGTTTCGTTGAAATCGCACGTTTCGGAACGATTTCGCGTCGTCCAGATGGCTCGTTTTGAGAAATAAATGGCTGGCACACACTTCGAACTCCAGACCTCACGTGTCCTAAACGATTGATTTTGGAACTCGAGGTTAGGTTAGGAAACACACATTATACTTCGCAAAACGTCGTATTCTTGTAAAATGTGTGGGGTGCTCAGATGAATAGGTACCAAATAAAAATCAGCTACCTAAATTTTATTATAGCCATAATATGCCTCCCCCCAGTCATTTTATTTCTTACATTTTTTTAATAATTCTATAGATCCTGATATTACTATATTTCAAGTTATATGTGTGTCGGATCATATAATATATTATTATACGTATCGTTCTGGGATACATAAACTAAGATAGTACAACCTTAGTTCATATTGGACAGTGATTCCAATATCGTAATTTTACATTAACAACAAATTGTGCTTCCCCCCCCCCTCCCTCTGATATTTGCTCTAGCTCCGTTAGATGTTATTGTTGTGTAAGATATCTGGAAGTAGAAACAATGATATTTACGAAAAAAAACATATTCCCCAATTATCTGACCAAAATTGGATACTCATAGTTTTTATATATGACTATGACATGACTATATTATTAAACCAGTTGAACTTAAAATTACAAAGAAAAACAATTATTACCAGATTTGTATTCTGATGTCAAGTCATTTTTAGCGAAATTCAAATTATTTTACAAGAACATTGATGAAAAAAATTAGACCACAGTATGTGTTGACGTTTTATGTAACAAGAAAGTCATTCCAACAATGTAGGTAACTGGGTAAAAGTAACCGTCATATTGTGGACTGTCAAAGAACAGTTGTAAAATTAATTTTTAATTTTATTTTCTGATTATCATAACTGTGATTCTAGAATCAAATTAGAAACAATTTACAGTAGAGTAGACAGTGTATGATATTTATTAAATCGATGCTATTGAAAATTGAAATGATGAGTTTCAAAGTTACGATATTCTTAACATTTATTTGTGTGTGGTCTAATTTATCAGAATAAAATATTTGCTGAAAAAAAATGTTGGCTATAACAACAACGGCAACAACCTAGACCTTTTGCGACGAACAATAATAATTAATTGCACTCTAATAATCTGTATAATAGCTGCTGCATTAGATTTTCTCGCTCGAAATACCGAACGGAATTATATTATTATTAACGACTGATCGATTTTTATCATTATTGACGTCATGATATTATAATAAATAATATGAATGAATAATCGACGCGCAGTAGTTATAAAGTCAACCGAATATTTTGATATTTTAAACGCATATGTAATACTTACCTACATAATATACGACGGGCTCGGTGCGATGGAAAATGTTTAATTAAATAATGATATCATTGTACCTACGCATATTATTATAATGTGTGCGAACCGTGAGACCGGTCACGGGGAGGTAGCCAATCGCGGGTCTTGGCGGTCCGGCGAAATAATAATAATTGCAATATTATAATGATATGTCGGACCGGCGGCGCAGATCGACTGCAGCACCGGCCAGCATATCACATATCGCAGCAGTGATATTCGACGTCTGATCGTTTACCGAGTGGAAGGCCGCCGGTCCGATAATATTATATCCGTCGCAGTACCGCGGGCATTACGCGTTAGCGCGACGATGCATTTTTTATAGATTGTTCCGACCAAACTGCAGCAGTGTTCTTCCGTTCCATTCCGGTACGTATATTATAATGCGCAGTACATAAAAATAATGTTTTCAACTTTGTATTATTACACATTTTATTTTATTCAATGACATTTTTATTTTTAAATCTCTCGCACTCCTGCAGTAGTCGTTGTGTGGTTGTGTTCAACGCGTTATAATAATTATTTATTTATTTTACTATTTTGTTGATGTTCGACATCAGTGGATTTTATAAGACTACATTTCCTTAAAAATAAATACAAGTCGGGACATGCTTAAATCTAATGACTAGATTTACAATTTTTATTGTATTGAATCATGTTTACGGTCCTTGTGAAAAAAATATGTATGTTTCGGTACTTTCTTCGTTGAGCGCTGCTCTTTATATTGAAGATTTTGAGTGCACATTATTATTATAACTTAACAGTCTTATCTAAATTTTATCATCCTCCTGTTTGCGTTAACTTTTTTTTTTGTAAAATACTCCTAGTACTCGAGTAGAAAATGTTTGATTTCGATGAACTCGTGCGTCTTAATACTTGACCGATTACCAGGGTTCGATTTACGTCTGTAGTATACTCGTAAGTACCACTCCAACAGTCATTCATTTTTGGTTTTTTTTTGTCATTTTTCATTTTACATGTGATTTTCAAGTACTTGGTTGTCTTAGACTTAGTTTGCAATTTAATTTTTTGATTTTTAACGACGTTTCGTACACACGAATACGTTTCTAATCATATTATTATAATTACACTCGTGTTTTTTTTTGTATTTTAGTGTCATGATTCTTTTTTTACAGTACAACTTGGTCGAAATTGAAACCGTATACAATGTGCAAGTATAGAGAGGCTAATCGCTAATACCCAAACGCTTTTTCATATCTCAGACCATTATTATAGAATGTAAGGCTATATGATTTCACTTTTAATTTATATGAAAAATCGTTATCTAAAAGTTTTGCTTATTATGTTATATATAAATTTGAATGGGCCGACCGATGTATTGTAAAGATAAAATTAGTGAGTTCGCATTTATACAGTCTGTATGTATTTATATTTATTCTTAGAAGTTAAATTCATCAAGATTAATATCTGACACATTTATCTTTATCATATGCCTACCAAAAACCGTAATTAACACAAATAACTTAACCATTTTTTATAAAAGCAACTAAACATGTATATGAATGTATCAGTGTATCGTATATTATAAATGTGAAATTGCTTAGTTCTAAATGTACAACTTTACTTTTTCATCTCTGTGCATTGTTTATTCATCGATGTACTGTCTACAAACCAATCACGTTTTAAGAATACCTAATATTATTATTAATTTTTCCTGAACGAAATCTGAAACAAACTATTCATTTATTATTAAAAACAGGCCTGTGGTGATCATGAAATCGTATATATGGGAATTGGGAATATAAATAACGATTAATGTTTCAACGCTATATATATTATACGTGACTAGGTACAGGATACTATACCGTATCAGACATAAAAAAGAACACGAACAATTTTTAAACATAATATAACGAACACATCACATTTTTATTTCCGATTGTGTATCATAATTCATAATAATATACTTTCCTCGTTCGACTATCGAATACAACATGGAATTCGTGCACAAACACACAGATTTTGGTATGAAAGAAAACAGAAACTTTATTTTTACGTTTAGAATAGTCGCTTAAGGCTTATCATATAAATACATGATAAATGTATGAATTTTTATTCGTATTCTTATAATATGTAATTATAAAATGCAAAAAGTATAAGTAGGTAGTAACTTGAGCAATCTCGTTTATATTTCATTTGATTTTTGTTTTCTACACTTGATGGAATAAGACAAGTAATCTTTGAAGTTAATAATTATTGTGATCTAGCAGTCCTGATAATAATTAAATATAGGCAATATATAATATATGCAGTAACAGCGTAGACGTAAAAAATTGATTCTGTAAGAAAAATAATTAAACGTTTTACATAGTATTAACACCTATAAACGTTGTGAAGTAGGCAACTCATATGAACGTTAAATTATTTTAACAGTTGGAGTAACATATTGAAGAGGGCTACTGCTCTACACCAGAATATATTTTTGTAACACTTCGTGATGGAGACAAGTATTAAATATATATTGTAATTTGATCATAAACGTGTGACTGAAAACTATAAAGTATGTAGTATTTTGACGTAATTTACCATTCCAAGCCACGTGCAGTGAGCATGTGCTAACAATTTAAGATTTTTAAAAATGTGGTTTTCACGGTCAAATTTGTCACGTTGAAAATACCTATACGATAATATCGTTACAGCTCTATGGACTTGGAACGTTTCTATAAAATATATAGGTAGGTAGGTACTTCCAGGCGGATTCTAAGCGTAGCTGATACTATCTTGCTAATGAGAGATAGTGCGAGAGCTGCAATAGGCGGAGCTAATATATAATATAGTTTATACGGAGGTGTACGCTTTGAATTTCAAAGTATATTATATTATATACTCATAATAAATCTAAAAACAAATCCTAAATTGTCCCAAGGTCTGCTCGTTTTTAAACTCTTGTGCGATCAAACTTCACGAACCTCAGAGTAACAATAGCACGATATTTATTATTATTATTATTATATCGGTATAATATAAGTTGTAGTCGCTTATCGTACGTGTGACATAGTGCAGCAGTTAAAATATTATACGCCTAGAACATAATCTTATATACGCACACTATAGCACACGTCATATCCCAAAAATCCAAAACAATGCAATAATAATATATAATAATATGTATATTATTATCCATGTGGCGTATGTACTGTGTGCGTGTGTATGTATGTACAGTATTTGTGTAAGCAATGTTGTAAACTACACAGTGAGTAATGTTTTGTCGTTAATTGGATTTCGGTTGCCATATAATGTCTGCAGCAATAGACGTAAAATAATACAATAAATTATTATTGTACCTACCACGTGAAACGTCAACATTTCGAAAGTGTTTAAAAAATTATAATAATAATATAATGTATACAATATCGTTATTTGGCACCTACCTATATTGACTGTTTTATATCTATTTAAACAGTTTTTAGTTTATCACGTACCCAAGCGACAAAGGAACGTGTAATAAATAATAATAGACGTTTTTGGTAACTAGTATAGGTAGTTAATAGAAAATAATATTATATTATACGGTTGTGCCTCTGTGTACCAACGATTTAATAATTCAGTATGCAGACCACTTAATATTTAGGTCTACCTAAACAACTAGACAACTTTTTTACAAAATCAATTTTTCACTTGAAGGCCGAAACATACAAAAGTACCTCTGTAATTGGGGATGCAACAAACGGACATCTCCGGTTATTTTTTGTTGAATTTTAGTGATAATGTGACATTGGAGTTACCGATTTTAATTTTGAGTGCAACGCAAAGTTTGAAACAGCTCGTTTTATTTCAAACCATAAATTAAATAAAACGTTTTTCATACTTAAATAACATTTACTTTAATTAAATTTGTATACCTTAAGTCTCAGAAACATAAAACAAAATATATTGAAAATGGTGTAACAACTAGACAACTGCAAGTAGTTTATCATCTTTAGGAATTTAATTTCAGTAGTTGATATCACAATTATTACTAAGGTCTTATATTTATTTATTATCACTTACTATCTGGTATATTGAAATAAATATAAATACTAATTGATTCTGCATTAGGAATTTCTTACAAATTATAAACAGTTTTTTTATTTTTCCTGTACAATTTATGAAAATGGAGTTGTCCTGTTGTTGACGCTGCCTTTAATTTGTCCTAACTAATTTCTTACTATATACGTTTAATCGTTAAGTTTTTACTTTAATGAAACTGTAAAATAATAATTACTTATACTTATATACTTTAAAATGTGTAATAACGTTTATAGAAACATTATTTTTGAAAATAAATAAATAAATAATCAAAAAACATTATACTAAATGAACAAACTAGACCCGATCTGTTTATTGGCTGTCACCTCGGGGTGACATTATTCACGGTCGAAAGTAAGATATCATATGATAGGATTTGTGACAGACCGACAAATGCACAATATCATATAATACTATAAAATCAATAATATATTATGTGTTGGGCCAGTTACTTGCAGATAAGATATTTCATGGAGCCATTTAAGCATATCGTGCATTTAATGATGTATTATTGGGTTTTGATTTTTAAAATTTATTTTATTTGAAATATTGAGTGCTGATACATTTATGCATTATACTAACATAATATATTTATGACCATAAAGTGACTATTTTTTTAAGGATTGTAAAATAAGTGTTTAAAGTCAAAATATTAAATACGTCACGTCGTGTACATTACAGTCTGGATTTGTTTATGCTTTTGAATAATACATATTTTGTTGTTGTTTAGTTTCCATTCGTGCAGGTACTTCATAAATGGTATTCTATCGCAAACAAATTATGATATTATATCAAAATGGTGAAATATTATATTAATATACCGTCACAGCAATAATATATAATTAATCACAGGCAGTTTTAAATCGAATATTAGTAACTACTACGTGTCTAAGTTTTCATTTCTTTAAGCAAATATGGTTGTGTGTATAGTTTTTCGTTCTCATTTTCATTATTAAAAACGTGTACACTGTAGATACGCGTCGTGCACGATCCATCCAGTATAGTTGGTTTTGGAAGCGTCCATAAATTAATGACACTATATCATATCATTACAATCTACAGAAAAAAAACACTCCCAGTGAAAAACTGCTAGCCAAAAAAATAAAATAAAAAATTAAGCATTTGTGACATTTCAAATTTGTGAGATTATTATATTTTATGCGTACCATTATTTTTTGGCGCCTATCCGATTTTTTATACCGATACAAGTCTTCTATTTTTATAAGCTTCGGCTCAAACACACGCGGTCTAGTCCACGAATATCTATAAGAATAAGACAGTATTATTATTATTATAACTATTTTTCTTTCTCCGAGTGTAACTTCATCTCCAAACACGTT